AGGGATTCCTTCAGGTTGCCGGCCAAGTTCTGTGTGACTAAGTTTCTCTCTCCTTCTTTCGTGTTGGGCAGAGGTTTCCTTCAGCTCCCGACCTTCAAATTGGCTACTAGAGGCCAATCCTTCTCCCTTACAGCCACTCCCTCATCTAAAATGTAACCTACTGATAAAAAATTTGAGATTTTGTCAGGCCATCCAATGAGGAACCAACTGCCAATGAAAAGGTGATTTGTTCTCCCAGTTTCCCAAAGGAGAGGGCAGGCCACATCACACACAGAGGAGTGCGAGCATTGGCAAGGAGGCAGAAAGGGTGAGGGAGCTGTGGACAGGAGCCTCAATGTGGGGATCTATGGAAAGGAATGGAAATTGAGTGTGAACCTGCTGGGATTGGTAACCACGAGGCATTTCACCAAATTTCCAGGCACAGGGGCTGCCCTGTTACCTGGTACTGGCTGACTCAGGCAGGCTCACAGCCGCCTGTTGTGTGAAGGGTCAATTAAAGATGTGCTTGGCGTGTCAGCTCTGAACTGTTGGGTGTGCATTTGACAGTCTTGCTCCAGCAAGCACTTCAGGCACTAGTTAGTCCCTCCAGGGCTGCCAGTGCAGTCCCAGGCCCACAACATCGAGATAAAGCCATTTCCTGTTTTCAAACCCAGCCCACCACTCATGAGTCGATCCTGTACTGCAGGTCTTCTGTCTTCCTGCCATGAGCCTCAGAGAGCACTTCGCCCTTCAGAGTTCCCGTGACCAGGGCAGACCCACCTGTACAATGTCCTACGGGTGTTATTCAAAGTGTGAATTGGTTGCTAATCTTAGATACACCCACAATATTCCTTTGCCACATGCTCAGATACAGTGATGTATCTCAGTACAGCCACTGTCCCTGGCCATGGGGTCAGAAATCCTGGTGGACCAGCCTAGAGTTCTCCCATATAAATGAGATAGTGAAGTCATGTTTATTCATCCCTGACCGAATGGTGAATGGTTGCAAAAGGACAGAAAACCACAGAAGAAAATAAGAATTACTCACAATTTTATCCCTATTAGTATTCTTTTTTCATCTGTGGTTTTATAATCCATGCTATTTAATGTGTTTGTAGCTGTACATTCTTTTGAATTTCATAAAAATCCCCCATGACATTATCTCTGCAGTGATAATCACCAGCGGCTGCATGGAGAGCTGGAACAGATCCTTTAATATCAGCCATGTAAAAGATTTCAAAGCTCTGCTATCATCTATATTATTTCCTTGTGAGATTGCGATAGAAATGGATACAAGCCTTCAAAATGGTTTTATTATTTGTACCCACACAGCAGAATATCACCTCTCTCCTCCTTCTACCCTGATTTCCTTCTTTCCCCTTCCATTCTTCCTCCCTTCATCTCTTCATTTCCCTCTTCAACATCTCAGTCTTAAATAGTAAAAAATGAAGGTGAAACGTGGGCTGGTTATTATCATTATCATTATCATTAGCATCATCATCATCATTATTATTATGGTCAAACTGACACAGGCTAGAGTTTTCTGGGAAGAAAAACCTTGGGAAAAAATGCCTCCATAAGATTGCCTATAGGTAAGTCTGTGGGAGTGTTTCCTTAAAGAATGATTGACGGGAAGGCCCAGTGTACTGTAGGTGGTGTCATCTGCAGTGATACCTTGTTTGTACAAATAAAGCCTGTCTGGGGGGTCAGAGAATGGAGCATGCCACAAGCTAACCATAGATGTCTGGAGGTCTGTGCAGACAGACAGGAATTGAGGTAGCTGGGTGGAAACAGGATATAAGCAGGGAGAAACAGGAACTCACTTTCTTGTCTGCTGAGCTGAGAAATAGGTAAGGTGTGGAAGTGGCTTGCTCCTTCTCTCTAGTCTCTCAGAATTTCCCTCTAGATCTAACTCTGGGTTTTTATTATCTAGACTAATTAAGAACTCCATTTACTGTCATCCCTGGGCAGGTGGCCCTGGGTTTTATAAGAAAGCAGAATAGGTAAGCCACAGGGAACAAGCCATGGGGAGCAAGCCAATAAGCAGCTCCCCTGCATTGCCTCTGCTTCAATTCTTCCCTCCCGGTTCCTGTTTGAGTTCCTGCCTTGACTTTCCTGCAGTCAGAACTTACACTGATATCTGTAATAACCCTTTCCTTCCCAAGTTGCTTTTGGTGATGGTGTTTTGTCCCAGCAGCAGGAATCAAACTAATTCATGGAATATCCAGCCTTTCCCCTTTCATTTCCTACAAGGCAGGAACTCAAGGCAGCTGGCCACATCAAATCCACAGTCAACGGCAAAGAGAGAATACACACATGCTTGTTTGTTCACTTGAAAGACCCCCGAAGAGGTACTTTCGTAGAAGGAGACCCGCACCCAGGAATCAGCGAGACCACGAGCTTGGATGCAAAACCGCAAGAGGCTTTATTGGAGATACGGGTACCCGGGCGACTTAGCTTCTGTGAGGCCAAGTGCCCCGAGCCAAGGGAAAGGGGTCCTTATATAGGGAAAAAGGCGCAAGCTAGGAGCAGGGATTCTATTGGATAATTCTAATGAGGCATTGCACAGAGCTATTCCCATTGGTCAATGTATATGAGGCGCTATACAGGGTTATTCAAATGAGGCAAAGTACAGAGTTATTCAAATGAGGTGAAACATAGAGTCTTTCAAATGAGGCGAAATACAGAATCATTTCTATTGGATGGTTCAAATGAGACACAGAGCCATTCCAGATCAGCATATTCTCAAGGTCTGGTGTCTGGTACAACAGAGGGGTGGCGGGGGAGGGCCGCCGGGGGTGGGGATCGGGGAAGCTGCCGACAGGAGGAAGAGGAGACAAACTTGAGAAAGAAAGGGCTAAGGGGCAGGGGTCTTTCACACTGATAGTTTTCTCTGCTCTTATACTATCCAGGACTCCCTGAGTAGGGAATGATGCCACCCACAGTGGTTGGATCTTTCATTCCACCTCAATGAAGGGAATTTCTCACAGACAGAACCATTGGCCATCCTGATCCAGGCACTTCCTCATTCAGGCTGTCTTCCCAGGTTGTTCTAGGCTGTGGCTAGTTGACACTTATAACTAAAGATCCCAGTCATTGTCGTGAGTCCCAGTTGCAGTGAAACCTGCCAGAAACCCATCTGATTCCTTATCGAATCATTGGTATTGTGATGGGAGGGGCACACTGAATAATAGGTAACCTAAAATCCCACTCCTGGTTTTAACAACCTTCACCCGGATAACAGTGTTCTCTGGTAACTGCTGCAGCTGAAGAGCAAACTTTGGGGTTGGGATGATGCAACCTAGATGCATGCATGCGCCCTTCTATTCTCCTGATTTCTTTCTACTCACCTCATCCTGAGAATAAGTTTTCCTCCACCCAGAAGCCTCTTCCAGCTGATACAGAATAGAGGGGCCATGCAGGTGGAACACCAAGTCAGGGAGAGGAGGGACCTCTCATGAACAAAGGCCCATGATTCACATGAGAGAGAAGCTGTTTTCCATTCTGTGTGGACAGAGTAGGGGGTGGGCAAAACTCAGGGGGATTTTTCCGGAGGATCCCCACTGTCTGCAAACCCAAATTCTAGGTTTGAGAAGGCCTCTGAGATGGCCTCAGAGAGCGTTTAGGAGCCAGCTGGTCACTGGTATGTTTTAGAAAGCAGTTTGGGCACAAACTGTTGTCCACACACAGGCTTTCCCGCTTCTGACACAGTCCATTCAGTTGGTGGCACCTCTAAGATGGCTCACTTCCCTTTCCTCTTTTTGTTTTGGTCTCACAGCTGTGTTTTATTCTTTACTGGCCCTAAGAGAACTCATGGTAGAATGTAGTAGGGTTTTCTGTGATAACCCTGTGCTTTAAACAGTTCCCTGTATCAGTGGGTTACAACAATGGAATCTACCAAAGTCAGAGCTGAGAAGGTAGGAGAGGAAGCATGTAAGGGTTACTTCCTCACCCCAGGAGCTCCCCTCTGGCTCTGGGGTCAGCCCTGGGTTTGAATTTTCTCTGTCCATGCATGAGTTAGACAGGTGATTCTTGAGTCATGACTGAGAAAAGCAACAGAAACCATCAGATGATGTCATGGGGAAGGGAATAGAATTCTACACCAAGAAGCCCCAGGGATGAGGCAGAGCAGTACTTTTGAGTATGGAGGTCTACACAGTTCATGAAGGAGAGGAGCCAGAAGTTGGCTTTGCGTAGATCAGAGGAAATTGCAATTGTTTGCTGTCTCATTAAAAAAAGAGGTTCCAGGAATAAGGGATATGAGGAAGCTCAGAAGAAAGGCTCCTGATTGGAGTGAAGATGGTGGTTGGTGGGGTAGGGAAAACTGAGGAACTTTCTGGATAAAGTAGGGAGGGAATGCATTAGCACCTGAGAGGTAGGGGGCAACAATGTGCAAGGAGAGTCACAGATTATGAATAAGGGCATGTTGGCAGGAGCATGGGGGCTGTCCTTGGGATAAAGCAGCATGACTGACTTGGGACCCTAGTTCACACATCCCTGCCTTTACCTGTCAGTGCTCAGCAGTTTGAGTGTAGCTGCTGAGCAGTGTGAGCATGGGCTGCCTGGAAACTAGCAAGGAGAGGGCAAGCATGTTGCATCAGAGCAGTCATGATAAATAGACCTCTGGTCCAGACTGGAGAAGGATCTTGACTCCAAAATAGTTCATTCAGGGTCACAGGCAGTAGGCAGGAGCCGCTGCGGGGTGGGGGCAGCTTTTAGATAGCCACCCCAACTGAGTGACTCAGCATGGAGCACCATCCACAATCCTTCTCTCCTCATCTTTTAGCATCTCCTGATTCAGCCTTCTTCAGGTCTTGCTATGTGACTTTGGGTACCTGACACAATATTGAAAAAATCTCCCAAATTAAGAACTTCAGGATGGGGACAGCAGCACAATTGTGGAGCCCACAAACTCCCCCTGCTTTCCTGTCTCTTCTCCATTTGCAGCCACGCCCTCTCCATCTTTGCTATTTCTGCCAAGCTTCTGCCATGGGCTCAGAATCTACTTCTAAGTCATTTCATTGTGCTTTTCCTGAGCCTCTGTTACAATTTCTTAATTAATATATAAATGAATATTGATGTTGAGAGCTACTGAATGAAGAGTGAGCTGAGGAAGACCAGGTGTTCAGGAGAAGCCTCCAACCCATCATGGGATGGGACTGTGTAGTAGTCACATGCTTGCTCACTCTCATCATGGGACAGAGCAAAGATGTGACTACAGATTTGTCTTCAGGCCCGGAAGAGATGTGCAGCTTAGTATTCATTTCAGACATTTTAGTGAAGTGACAGCCTTGACCTGAGTGACTCCATTTGGAGTCTAAGTGCCAAGAAAGAATGATACTGCGTCTTGTCTTCATGAGTAAACAGCCACCATCTGCTAGTGGAGCAGCAGGCATGTGCTGATAATCTATTTATACTGCTAAATAGTGACACCTGGAAATATATCCAATCCCATCAGAGACTCCAGACAAATGGGCTTATCAGTCTCACCAGGTGTGGCCATAAGACCCGAGATGACAAAAAAGGATGTCTTCAAGCGAAAGTGTGGCAGACCGGCTAACTACTCTGAGCCCCATCCAGGAGATTGCCAGAGGAGATTCCTGCCTCTGTCCCCAGGCTCCAGCTCAAATGCAGGTTCTCCTGCCTGTAACACCCAACCTGTTACATGGCCCTGCAGTCCACAGATCTGTGATTCCCAAGCCTTCCTACCCAGCAGGCCTTTTTCTCTGCCTGTGTCTCATCAGACTCTGAACTCTGCCCCCTCCTTTAATCATTTGTCAGCTGTCCTGTAATTGTGTAAAGTGTGATGTATGACCAGAGAGTTAGATGGGAATAAAATTGTGATCGACAATGGCAAGCTATTGGCAAAATCAGAATGAATCGGCAGATTGCAGCCAGTGGAACTGACACAACTTGTTTAACAAATTCTACTGTGGAACCGTGGCTGTATATATTTCTTTTTAAACACTGTTTTATTGTTCTGTGTGAGTGTGCATGTGTGTGTGGGTGTATGCATGTCACAGTCTATGGAAGGTTGATAGCAACTTTGTGGTATCTGTTCTCTGCTCTCTGTATGTGGCTTTAGGGGATTAAAATCAAGTCAGTGGGTTTGTGTGGCCAATGCTTTTACCCACTGGCCGTCTCACTGGTCCTGGTCATTTTTATCTTTGACACAAGATTGCCACAAGGATCAATAGTAGAGGGTGTCTGGAGCAGACACTGGGTGGAATGTGTCTAGTTTACTGCTGGGACCTTTCTTAGCTGATTCATTGGACACTCCCCCACTTGGCTGGACTTTTCTTTTCAGCTCCAGAGAAGCTGATGCTGAAAAGTGCGGTAAGAACAGGCCCTGTGGATTTACCACAAGCTGAGGGTGACTTGCTGGACCACCCTCAAGTGAGGTCTTGCCTGTGAGGAGCTGTGCACACACCATCCACCATCCTACTTCCAAGCCTTCTACCACAGCAGAGAGACAGTAGAGAAAACCTTGAGAGATGAGCAGGGCACATCTCCTGTCTTCTCTTACCCCTCACTCCACAAAGGGACTTTGAGATGGCTCAGGGGGTCTAGTGCTCCCAGTACATGGGGATCTGAGTTTGGTTTATGTTAAAAAACAAAGCTGACATGTGGCAAGTGCCTGAAATCCAGTGCTCAGTATGTAGAGACAGGGGGTAACTTGGGCTAGCTGGCCTGTCAGGTTAGCCAACTAGTGACCTCTAGATTCAATGAGAGCAGCTGTGTCAGAAAATTAGGTGGAACAGGCCTTTAATCCCACCACTCAGGAGGCAGAGGCAATTGGATCTCTTTGAAGGTCAGGCTTGTCTATACAGTGAGCACCAAACCAACCAGGGCTACATAATGAGACCCTGTCTCAGGAAACCAAAAACAGACTCAAAATAAAGCCAGTCCCAATTCCCCTCAAAATAACAAACAACAGGTAGAGAAAGGTTGATGAAGACATATAAGGCTGACTTGTAAGCTCCACATTCATGTATCTACACATGATCATCTAGGTGCTCAATTGAAGAGATAGTATGTGATATGTAATTTATATTCACATAATAAAATATATGCTAATGGAGTGTACTACACAGATATAAATGTGGTATATACAATGCACATTGTAGTTTTATAATCCAATACATTATAAAATACCACACTATGATACAAGAAGAGTTTCTTTAGGAGGTAAGAGCTCTAGTGTCTTTCAAGGATCCTAAGTTAGTCATGGAACTTTCTAGAACCTCCATGCAACCAGTCTGCTGAGGTCACAGTGGATGCAAAGCCTGGATTTCCTTAACCATGGGGCACTGAGGAGTGGTCCAGAACATGCCAAGGTCAACATTGCCAGCCTCCACATCTCCTCCTCCACCTGGTGACTGCATGACCTGAGAGGTAACATGACCATTCTATTGTTGTATGTAAAGTGTCAAGTACAGTGTTGTCTATCGGGACTGGTGTGAAGAGCCCAAGGTTAACATGAAGTCCACATTGTTGTGTTTGTCAAAGTCTGCTCTCTAAACTGCCAGGCATAGATGACATTGTGTTTTACCTGTTCAGGGTCTCCTGTGTGTGCACTCACGGTGGGGGAGTGTCTGTTTCCTTAAGGTTCATGTCTGCTTTACTCCTGGCTGGATGTGAGACTGAATTTGGATTTTGTGGTGAGATATGTCGTCTGACTTCATAAATATGAACTGGGATAGCACAGTTTGGAGAGAGCTTTTATATTTTCCTATGTGGGGAAAATGTTCTAGGTCTATTAGATGCAACTGCAATCTGGAAAAATTTAGGAAATAAGACAATAAGTATTGGCATGGCTACTTTTGGAATATGATCACTCATCAATGGAGGTGGTGAGCCTTGGACACTCACGAACCCCTCTGTGCATCTTTCTAACCTGGAAGGTTAGATTCTGGCTTGAAGGTTAGAATAAAGTAGCTGTTTAACTGGCAATAAAATTTAAGGCAATTTAATAGGATCAATTCTTGCCGTTGCTGTTTTTTCTTTTCTTTTTTTTTTTTTTTAAATATTATCTGCAGCTAGCTTTGTAGCCATCTGTTCGGGGCCAGTTTGTCTGCAGAAGAGCTAATTAAGGGGAAAAAGATTTGTCATCTTAAGGAATGCTGACAACTCTTATGGTTCTCAGGGGAGCAGAGTCTTGTTAGAAAAATAGTCTTGTTTGTTGTTTGTGTTGCTGTTATTTGATGTCTAAGTTATACTCCTTCTGATGTGCAATCAGCATGGACGCCTGTTTTCAAATAGAGTGAGTGCCTTCCTCAGAGTGGGGGCAACTCATATTTCTGAGGGTTCGATATTCAGTTATTACAAAGTCTCTTATTGCTGTGGCCTGGTTTCTTTTCTTGGCATATTCTAATTAATTAATTAAATTAATTTTGTGGGTGCATATTTGCACATGTGTGTATTTTAATATGTGCCAAGGTGTGCGTGCATATGTGTGTGTGTGTGTGTGTGTGTGTGTGTGTGTGGTGTGTGTGTGTGCTCGAGTGTAGATCAAAAGACAATTTTTGGCAGTTGGTTGTCTCCTTTGGGCATGTGGGATATGCAAATTGATCTCAGATTATCAGGCTCTCAACAATGAGCTACCTTGCTGCCTCTACTGTAACCTACTTTTTTTATTGTATTTAGTTTTTTTTTACTGGTTGTTGTATACACATATATGCATGGATTTAACATAAAAATTTACCACTAAAACCATGTTTGAAGCATACATGTCACCAGCATTAAAGCCATTCACAATTTTTTGTACAGCTATCACCAGTATCTGTTTACAACATGTTTTCATTACTTAGTTGCCAAGGACTCTTTCTGTCAGGAAGACATCAGGCAACTGTGCACCAGGTGCTCCTGGGTGTTGACCTCCTGGAGTGGTAGAGCCACTTTGTTCCTTGAGGACTTCAGGGACAGGGTAGGAGAGCAGATTTTCCTTAGGATTTTTATCCCATTTTCAAGGGACTTGGAATGGGCACCAGGGAGGGACAAAGGTCTTCTCCCACATAAATGCTGTATTTTCACAGAACATAGTGTGCTCTCTTCTGCTAATTTCTTGGGGGTGGGGGACCAAGTCAAATTTCTAAAGTATACAGTATTTTCCATTTCACGGGCCCCTGTTTATCCAGCCACCAGCCACTAGCAAAACACGGTTTGGCATGTTGGTTTTGGGGAAAGTGGTGAGAGACATGGGCAGGTGTGTGAGTTTCCACCCTATTTTATCCTTAGGTTTCTGAGGCCCACCAAATGGCTCTTGTCAGCCATTTATGTGTGTTTTGGGGTGACAAGAGGCTGACAAGGGGCCACGTTCTTTAAGGTCAAGTGTTTCTTTTTGATACAAATGTAGTTAAATTATAATCTCATTGGTTCCTGGTGATGCTTCTAACAAAAGCTGTGGGAGACCATCTGCTTCATATTTCATCGGTAAAAAGCCCGTTAGATGCATACACCTCCTCCTTCAGCCCAAAGAGTTTGCAATGAACCCTGAATACTTTGAACACATCTGTAAGAATAATAAAGAAAAACAGGCTATCAACTTGAGAGTAGAAGGGTCATAAAAGGGGTTTGAGGGAGAGGAGCTGGGATGGCTGAATGGAGAAAAAGAAGGGAGGAAAGTCACTTAATTCTAAAATACATATATCCACAGAAATAATGCATGATGCACTTTATCTAATTAGTATGTTTTATCTCTTAGAAGAAATGTTAGGTTTTCATCTTTCTATATATTGAAATATGCTACATACCTAAAATATCATTTACTAGTCAATTTCTCTATTTTTAATTCTTTAATTACTACTCATATTTACATATCCATCCCCTCCATTCCCTTGCCCTCCCATCCTCCCATGTCCCCACAAACCACCCCCAACTCCTCCCCAACTCCATGGGGGACCTTCAAAGTCCTTCATATCATTTGGGGGAGGGCCTAGGTGCTCCTTGCTGTATCTGGGCTGCAATAGTATCCCTCTATAGGGAATGGGCTCCCAAAGTCCATTTGTGCTCTAGGGATAAAAGACTGGCTCTACTGTTAGAGGTCCCATAGACTGTCTTGGACTCCTACCTGGCACCCACATTCAGAGGGCATGGTTTGGTCCAATGCTGCTTCCCCAGCTTTATGACTAGGGTCTCCATGCTATCAGTAGGTCAGGTCCACTGTTTCTGCAGGTTTCTCCAGCCTGGTCTTGGCTCCTTTGCTCATCCCTCCTTCCTCTCCATAACTGGATTCCAGTAGTATGGCTCAGTGCTTAGCTGTGGGTACCTGTTTCTGCTTCGAACAGCTACTGGATGAAGGCTCTATATTACGCAATGCTATAATAAGAAATACTTCCACTTAGATATGTTGTGGCACTTGAAGTCAATCTGTAACAAATCAGGTTCTATTTAGTTTCTAATATGAAAGATAACCTGTAGAATTCTAAAAATATCATTCTAAGCTGAGAGCTTAAGGAAATCATCTCTGCAGGTGTTACCCAGCACTGGCAGGCACTCTACATACTTTGTAGGATTGTGTAATGTTCTGTTTTCTTTTAAAATTTTATTTATTTATTCTAAAATTGTTAACCCACTGACTCCAATTTGTGCTGCTGTATACTCCTGGTTGTGGGAACTGTTAGTACTCAGGCATCTGTCCTGTCCTGTCCTTGTGGTTCTGACAGGATATGCCTTCAGCTGCAGCCACTAAGAGCACCACCTGTGCATACTCACTGTGTTCCCTTTTAAAAGGGCCCTGCCCACCTCCCATCCTCCCCCCCTCCTTCCTCTCTTCTGTTGCGACTGTCTCTGGAAGCTGGCTGGTCCCTCCCCTCTTCTTTCCCCCTTTTATGATCCCTTTCCAAAAAAAAAAACAAAACCAAAAAACAAAACAACAACAACAACAAAAAAATCCCTGCCACATGGTGTCTTTCTCTCCCATGCTGATTTTCTTAAGTTACAACAGGGACAGCAACTAGCACCTGGCTGTAGACCTCTAAGGAAAACAGAGCCTACCTCCCCTTGAAACTGTTCATTTTCCATAGCTGCTCAGTTAGGGGTAGGAGCTTCAGGGCCCCTCCTATCTCATGTTGGAATGCTGACTGGTTTGATCTTGTTTAGACCATCCTGGCTGCTGTAAGTTCCTGAGTGTAATGGTCCTGTCAAGTCCAGAAGACACCTTTTCACCTCAGTCCTCCCTCACCTCTGGCTCTTACAATCCTTCTCAGCCCCTCTTTTGCAAGGGTGGTTGAGCCTTGGGGAGGGCTGTGATGTGGCTGGGCATGCCACTGAATATTTGACAGTATTCTCTGTCTTTTGACCAGTTTCCAGTTTCTGCACCAATTGACATCCCCTGCACAAGGAACTTCTCAGATGAGGTCTGAGAGCCACACTAGAGAGACATATGTCCATTTAGCAGAATAATAATGATAGGTTCACCCCAAGGGCCGATATGTTCTCCACACACCAGTTCTTGGCTATGTTTATGGTACCAGGCATGAGCCTTCTCCTGTAGAGTGGGCCTTAAATCCAGTCAGGAAGCAGCTCCTTAGCTTCTTAACATTTATGCCACTATTTCACCCATGGGCATCTCTTACACACTGGTCATTCATTGCGGTTTATGGCATTTATAGCTGGGCAAGATTTTGGAGGCAGTTCCCCTGCCCCCCCCCAGAAGCCTGCATAGCACTTTCTAGTATGATGAGAGCTAGCCTGAATGGAGGAAGCTTCCTAATCATTACTGATTTCTCCATGTCCTGTGACCAATGTGTATAGTGTCTTTAGCCATTGGGTCCTACCATCAAGTTCTAGAGAGAGACCAAGAGCAATGACAACAGCCTTTATTTTATTATTTTTTTTGCATGTGTCTGAGATTTCTCTGACAAACAACTCAAGGGGAAGTATCCCCTAGCTGATAGTGGGCTTTTTACTTGACAATAGTGATGGGGGTTGTTGAAAGACATTCTGTTGTGAGACCATCTCAACATGAAGGCACAAAGTAGGCATCCCAGTGGTGCCATGGTAGATTTGTCATCAGCTGCAAGACCACAGTGGGTGAGATTGTTTAGGCTGTCCCTCAAGACAGACTGCTAGGGAGGCCTTGGATGGAGATCTGTTAACCTCCCAGAAGAGGGTGTGCATGCCAGTGTGGGTATTGCATGAGTACCAATGGAGGATTTGTTCATCCCATTTGGATGATGTGCTGGAGATGAGGCTGACTTCCAGGACTGAGAGCCCAAATGGAAGGCTCAGCTGTGGTGTTAATTAACTCAGAGGGCAGAGATGCAAACCAGGCAAGACTGTGTCAGATCTCAGCTCAGAAACTAGAGCTCTTGCAGCATTGTGGGGTCTGTACTGGGAAGAGCTGTGGGCAGGAAGATCTGGGAAGGGCAAGGTGGAAGGGTTGACTTGGGCATGAGCACTTTAGACTTCAATACAGGGCAGGCAATCACTATGCAAGCTTACGGGAAGGTCCAAGTCATCCCAAGAGTACAAGAGAGGAGGTGACTGAGACATGTGAAGCCACATGCTAGACTGTGGGGTATATTCATATGCTATCAGGCTTGGGCTGCTGATGACTAAGGAGCCAATGGCCAGAAGGAGAACCAGATGTAGAGCAGTGTGGTAATGTGAACCATTTATCACCAGGCCTGAGTGCTAGCATCCCACTGAGCTAGGAACCCCTCTGGACTTTCCAGCTCTTATTAGCTAACTTGAACCTAGAATCCCACGGACTACTGTGACATACAACTGCCTCCTTCCATGGGGACAGAGGTCCTCAGATGATAACACCTAAGGAGGCTCTGGGTCCTAGGATGCTGTTGGAGGAGTCATTTTGTTGAAGCCATTTATCTCCTGACTTGATCTAATTAAACATTTGAAGTGAGAGATAGAGTAAGTCATGATATTTGGGTAGTAGAGTGATCTCTGAGCCTGAGGTCACACTGCTGGTGGCCAACAGGATACAAGGGCAGGTGTGTGTCTTTTCCTGGGCAAAGGCTGCTTAGGCTGTCTTGAAAATACAAAACAGAGGCCATGTCTCTGTAAATGACTCTTAGGAGGAGTGTCGCCAGGGACAGCCATCTCCAAGGCTTCGAGAGCCCTGCCCATGTCAGAGGCTGCCACCACAGGCACAGGTGCAGATGTTGGGCTCTGGATGGGGTGGGGTGCTGGGAGTGGCAGCCAGAGGTGGGAATAAGTGGAACTTGAACATGCTGGCTAGGACTCTGAGGTCTATGGGTGAGTGATGAGTGATCCTGGACTTCTCTGAGCCCAAGAGGGATGGGGAACTGTCCTAGACACAACACTAGTGATTGTCCCCTGCCATGCATGCCAGGTGACACCATGGGTTTTCTCACAGCTCAGATATTCAGGTCTCTCCAGGTTTTGCAACAGTCTGCTTTTCTTCCATCCGTGAACAGTTAAGTGATGCCCATATGTGATCTTTGAAAACATCAGAATGGGAGACAGACATCGACTCCATTCCTTGATTCCATTAGCGGTCTGGGCTTTGCAGATTATGCCTCCCATTGTCTTTGAGATGGGATTCTTTGCCCAGGCAACCACAATGCAGTGTCTTTGTTAACACATAAGCTCTAAAAATTGGCAAGAGACCTTCTCCTGATTGCCACACAAGAACAAACCTATTTCACTGTAGGAGCCAAATTGAATTGCGTGGGTACCATGGTTTGGAATGTTTGAGCATGCTTTTCCGCTCAAACATTGTGTGTGTGTGCGCGCGTGCGTGCGTGTGCGTGCACGCTAATTAGTTAACTACTACTAAAAGCCTTTAAAGGAGCACAGGGCATGGAAATGAGCAGTGTGGAGAGCAACCTTTCCCGCAACAATGTAACCATTTCTTAAAGAAAACATCTCAGCAACAGGACACTTGGTAAACATGAAGTTGGCACTCCATAACCAGCAGTGATGATTTTGTTGGCTTTCTCTGTTCTTCAAACCTAGCCATTGTAACTTGAGTAGTTTTAATTTGAAAGTCACAAGATGGACTCTAAAGACAGAAAACACATCTCCTTTCCTCTCATATTCTACCTTGGTCTCCAGGTGAGAGTGGCTCCGAGGATGAGCTTTTGCCTGATGCTAATGTGTCATGCCCTATAAGCCTGGCTTTATTACTACCTGATGTCATTGTGTAGCCTGGAATAGAGACGATACCATGCCCTCAGCAGCTCTCTGAGGGTGATGGGGCAGGTCAGCCTCATTCAGCCACACAGTGACTTCGCATTAACTGTCCAAGTAGCCATGTGTCCAGGTTTTGGTTTTTAAAATTCCTTTTTTTTTTTTTTTTTTTTTTTTTTTTTTTTTTCCGGAATGAGGCAGGGATGAGCGCAGGTCCTTGGAGAGGCAACAGTGTTTCTTTATCAACGGTGGGGTTTTCAGAGATTGCCTTTGATTTCTGGGGAGTTATATTTTTCTCGATGTACAAAGAGGCATCCTGACAAGTCCACACAAGGAAGTTGTGGTCTTGTTTAATGTCTCCAGGCAGCAGCACAGTAGGTCTCTTGTGGGAGAAACCACAGACAGTGTTGCTGCAGTTCCATCCAGTGCAGGATACTGCCTGCTGATGTGTTGGGTAGTGCTGTGAAATCAAAGCGGGAGGCTCTGGAGAGCAGCATGGCGAGGAGGATATCTAGCTCAAGGAGCCTTCAGTGTCAGCTGGAACTACAGCTGTTTCATACGCCCCTTCCTACTCTCTGGGTGAGAGGCATGTCCCAAACCAGGTGTGGTATTGAATCTGCTCAGTGGAGTTGGCCTGTCCTCAAACTTTATGGTTCCACGTTCTAATGTGTTCTGTTACAGTCCCCCACTGTCCACGCTGCATGGATTATTTGCAGGACAGATTCTCAGGCTCCCTGGGTATCTGAGACTAGCCAGCTGCACAGATGAGAGGGGCAAAAGGGAGCCACTGATTCCCTTGGTCACTTGATTCCCATAACAGACTTGGTCACATTTCTGGTCCTGTTTCGAATCCTCATTTCTTCAAGACCATCTCCAAATTGCATAATGTCTTCTCTTATATGTGGTTGCCTTAAGTAAGCACACTTGCTTAGGAATCCTGCTGGTAAGTGGATGTTTTTATAAAGAAAACAAGGAAGGAAGGATTGGAAGAAGGAAGGAAAGGAATCCCTTTCCTCTTTAGAGGAAAAATTTCCTTTCTCTCCAATTAATAACTCCTGTGTCCACACTGCTTTTTCCTCTAATAAGAAGTGCATTATCTTCACACAATGACACTTTGGCATCTGCCTCTCCTCTCCACTAATTTGATCTGTGGCTCTTCCTGGTGTGAAATAACAATGCATGCAACATGTTCTTAAGTGTAGCATTGAGCCCCTCACTAGCTCACACACTGCAAAGCCTCTCTACTTTGTCCCAGAGCAGTGTGAACTCTGCCATGTGGAGAAGTCTGGAGTCCTCTCTTGTAATCCAGATTTCTCATAGTTGCTTTGCTATATTTACATTTCTTTGGTGCTGAGATACCAAAACTGAAGCAGTTGTGATCATCTGTCATTCAAGTTGAGTTTCTGTGACTCCAGGGGCACATGGACTTTCATCTCAGTTCTGGAGTTATCTTCCTCCAGAGGTGAGGGGCATTTGAGCTTTGGCATCATTGGAAGATGGCATCCTGACATGTGCTAGGCAAGGAGGAAGAATGCTTTGAACAATACAGTGGAAATGATTGGTGTGAGGCTGCTTCAGAACCATCTGCAGTAGAGCAGGTCAACTGGTCAACCTGGAAACAGAGGAGGCAAGGCTGGGGCCATCTGCTGTCCCCATCACCATAACTTTGTCTGTATAGCTACATGAGATGCATTATGTGCTGGTTGTGATACAATTGCCTGCTCTTCCCATCCCTTCCTGAGAGGAAAGTGATGACTCATCTAACACAGACGCTTGGAGCTTGCCTCTGCAAGAGTTAGTTTCCACCAAGGGTCAAAAAGGAAGGATTGAATATTCATCAACCCTCTTCATTGTTGCAGAAGGACAGTTTCATGGATTCCAGTGAGATTATTCTGTTCTGTTTCATATAATGCTTTAATTCTGCCTTTATTATATCCACATTATTTTGGGAGGAGGGAACATTTTGAAGGGAGGTTAACTTTAAAAAATTTATTTCTTTTATTTGATTATAATATAATTAGATCATTTCCTTCTTCCCTTTCCTCACTCCAAACCCTTCTATATATCTATCTTTGTTGTCTTTCAAATTCCTAGCCTCTTTTTTCACTGATTGCTGAACACACACTCACACATGCAAACATAAACACACACACATATGTACACATACACACACAAACACACACAGACACCAGATACACATGATACACACACAGACAGTACACACAAACACACATATACAAACACACATACAAACACCTACACACATTTATACAGACATTCATAAATACATAGATATAACTTGCTCAGTCTTTATAATGTTACTTGTATGTACATTTTTAGGGCTGAGACTTTGGTTTTGGTGTGCTCTTCCCTGGGGAGAAGACTTCTCCCTTTCTCAGCAAACTTAGTTACCTGTAGTTCTTTGTGTAGGGTTGAAGCTTCAGGATCTTTCTCCATGTGGCATGCCTATTGTTTTCATCCTTGTTAAGCTCATGGTGAGACTCTATTGCTGTAGCTTCTGACATCCCTAGAAGACACAGTCTCACAACAAACTCCCTGTGATTATCTGATGTTTCACTCAGCCTTAGATGTAGGAGTATTTTGTAGATATATCCATTGGGATTGGGCTCCACAGCTCTGCATTTTGCTTGGTTGTAGTCTTCTGTGATGGTCTTTGTTGCAAAGAGGAGTTTCTTTGATTAGGGGTGTCTTAGTTAGGGTTTCAGTTGCTGTGAAGAGACATCATGACCATAGAAACTGTTATAAAGGAAAAATTTTAATTTTGGTGGCTTATAGTTTCAGGGGTTTAGCTCATTAGCATCATGGCAGGAAACTTAGTGGCATACAGGCAGGCATGATGCTTGCTGGAAAAGGAGCTGAGAGGTCTTTAACTTGATCTTCAGGCAACAGGAATTGAACTGTGACACTGGGTGTAGCTTGAGCATAGGAGACCCCAAAGCCCAGCCCTACAGAGACACACTTCTTCCAACAAGGCCATACCTACTCCAATAAAGCCACACCACCTAATAGTATCACTCCCTTAGGGGCCATTTTCTTTCAAACCACCACAGGGGCTGAGGGATACACTTATTTGTAGGTTTAAGGACAAATATTTAGAATGTAGTTAAGAATTATGCTGGCTTAGTAAAGTGGCAATTGTTAAACCTTCCTCCCAGACCCATGACTCCTAGCCCTTCATAGTTGACCAGGTTTTCAGTACCAGACATTGTTTGCCTCTTATTGAGTGGGTCCTAAGTCCAATTAGAGAGCTGTTGGTTGCCAAAAAGGTGTGCATGCCACTCCTGCACCAGGGTTATTGGGCCATGCTGATGGTTATTGTGGCTTATAGGAATCAGCTGGTAGAATGTTGGTTGCTTCCCTGGTTTGGAAGTTTGCAAGGTGTTTTCTGGTACAATGAAAGCTATTTCCCAGAGAAGAGGCAACCATGTTAGCTCCAGCTTATGGGTCTCTAGGCCATGCATCTGAAGTGCGTGATGTCTTCAGCAATAGGGACTCACTGTCCACTTTTGAGAGACAGCCAAGGCAAGAGCAATAGGATGTATATTTTGGGAGTCTCTTGATCAGCCATGGCAAGTGACTCAGTAGAGGGCTTCATATGCCTGGAATTTGGTTTGGCTCTTGGAGGGAGCACTGTCAGCTCAGATGGTGAAAATCTCATTTAAACTATATATGTATCTTTATATACAGACTTACAGGTGCTAGTGGTTTTTCTTCTTTTTTTGGTAGATAGTTCATAGTAGGATTCCTTTTCAGGCATCCTTAGTGTTATTTTAACCAAGGAGAGTTAACTTTTGAGCCTGCACATGGCAGTTTTGCTTGGTCATTTTGCTCTGATAGAGTTTTCCAGTTTCTCTCACTTGGGGGTGTAACTCAGATTAGGAAGTGTTTCTCTGAGCTTCTAGGATCAGCTGTCCAGTGATTCCAAACTTGATATACAATGGGAAAGACATGATGCTTAGGGTGGGTTGAGATGAAGGATCGCATAGGCACTTGTTGGCTGATCCACTTCATAAACACAAAGTAAATTTTTCACTTGCTCATCTCAGGCGAGTCATCAGTTATGATAGAGGCTTTGGGGATTGTGACAATGTGTCATGATCACCTTTCTCTGGCAAATTCATTATGGTCATAATCATCTCTCTCTGTCACCTTAGAAAGTTCATGTCATCCATGATGAGTGTGACACCTTGTGGTAGTCTAGCAATGTCTAGAATTTTCTTGGGACACTTCTGAAGTCAAAGATCTTAGCTGCATGGAACTCCTGGCTCTGAGCAAACAGATTCTATCACGTCACCTTCCCCCGGAAAGTGTCTAATTCTGCTGACATATATGCCATTCCCAGAGCAGGCAATGACTAGAGTACAGAGAAGTCTGCTTTCAAAGATTTGGTTGGAGGTTATGGAGAGATGGCTCAGCCATTACGAGTCAGAGGACCCAAGCCTGGTTCCCAGCACTCATACCAGATGGCGGAAAACTGCTTGTAACTGCAGTTCCAATGGATAGGGCATCCTTTTCTGTCCTCTCAGAGACTTGCACACATGTCATTCATCTGCAAAGGCACGCGAGTGCACACCGTGCCCCCCCCCGAACACACACACACACACACACACACACACACACACACACACACTCATATAAATAAATATAATAAAAGCAAATATTAAAAGACGACCTTGTGTTAGACACTGAAGCATGCCAGTTTGACCAAGCACATGATGAACTTTGTGAGATGACTGAGTGAGCTTGTTTGTTGGGAGATACTGCACTCAGGAAAAGATGGATCTATGCTTGGTATTGCTTCATTTAGGAATCTCTTGGCTTAACTTGTTAAGTATTTATTAAGGATCTGTTTACTTGCTTCTATATAATGCCGAACCCTAGAGTTGAGACACCATGTGCTGTGAGAAGTCTTGTTAGAGTGATGGAGATACAGCTAGTGACGAGAGGGCTTGCCCTGAGTTTGAGCCACAGCACTGCCATGAACCGAGTTTAGTTATACACACCCAGGATTTCAGTGCTCAGTGGGGCCAGTGCCATGGAGGATCAGGAGTTCAAAGTCATTCTTAGCTACTTACCAAGGTTAAAGCTGGTATGGGTTACATGAGACCCTGTCTCAACAACAGTGTTCTCGGTGGTGAAGATATGAGGGTGATGGTGATGGTTATCATCATCTAAGAAATAATGCAGAAGGCGTGATGAGGGAGGAGGTGAGAGCTGGAAAAACCAATTACCACACTGTGAATGAAGCCAGTTGACTGGGTCTTTACAAGAGGACATATAGAGATGCACAGTGAGGATAGGTAGATTTTAATGCAGCGGTACTCAACCTTCCCAGTGCTATGACCCTTTAGTACAGTTCTTCATGTTGTAGTGACTCCCCCAACCATAAAATCATTTGGTTGCAACTTCATAACTATGATTTGGCTACTGTTAGGAACCATAATGTAAATATCTGATATGTGACCCCACAGATTGAGGACCACTGTGTGAATTGTGGGGTGCAGATTACAAGGGGTCTCCTCACTACAAGGAACTCCCCAGGGAAGGCAGTGATGGCAGGTTTATGAACTAGCAAGTGACCCCAACTAACAATCCAAGCAATAGTTGAGAAGCTACCTTAAAAGCCCTTCTCCGATAATGAGATTGATGACTACCACATATGCCATCCTAGTGCCTTCATCCAGTAGCTGATGGAAACAGAAGCAGATACCCACAGCTAAACACTGAGCTGAACTCTGGAATCCAGTTATAGAGAGGGAGGAATGATGAGCAAAGGGGTTAAGACCAGGCTGGAGAAACCCACAGAAACAGCTGACCTGAACAAGGGGTTGCTCATGGACCCTAGACTGATAGCTGGGAAACCAGCATAGTTCCAGACCCCCGAAGGAGGAAGTCAGTTTGGAGGTCTGGACAATCTATGGGGCTACTGGTAGTGGATCAGTGTTTAACCCTAGTATACAAGTGAACTTTGGGAGCCCTCTCCACATAGAGATATACTCTCTCAGCCTAGACACACTGGGGAGGGTCTAGGCCCTGCTCTAAATGATATGACAGACTTTGAGGTTCCCCTATGGAAAGCCTCACCCTCCCTGGGGAGCAGAAAGGGGTTGGGATGGGGGGTCAGGGGAGGAGGGGAGGGAGAGGGAACTGAGATTGACATGTAAACGAAGCTTGTTTCTAATTTAAATAAATAAAAAGAAAGAAAGAAAAAGAACTAGCAAGTGGTCTGTTGTTTCAGGTTCAGATCTGCCCCTAGAAGTTCAGGAGGGAACACTGGGGTCAAGGTGTCTGCTCAGATGCTATGTATCAGCTTTAACCAGGACAGCCTTCTTCTCGATTGTCATTCTAGTGCCTCTGCTCATCATTATTGTTAATGCTTTTCTTTTCTGAAGAAGAGATTCTGCTTCAGACAAGCAGAGTTACAGGCATGAGCTGGCATGAGCTGACATTTCTTCATTGCTGCTGTAACAGTGATTTCCTTCTACCCTAAAGAGTTATTTCCATAATAACCCTGATTAATGATGACATGTAATTTTCTTGCCATTTCATGCTAATAGGGCCAACCAGGACCTTTTATGATATGATTTGAAATTTCTAAAAGGGCCAAATCCCCAAAATCTCTCAGGTAGAAATACTTGACATTCAGTAATAGTAAGGATAACCAAGATGATTGCCAACATGCAGTGCTTATCAGGTGTGCATCAGTTCCCATGTTGTTGAGGCCGCTTACTGAGTGGTTTAATTTTGCAATTGACTTAAGGGTGTGGATGCTATTGTCCCCACCTGTTAGGGAAGCTGTGGCTTGGAGGGGGTCACTCATTTCCACAAGTGACAGAACTCACATTAGCAGAGGTGGAACCTGAACTGTGGCAATTGTCCCCCAGAGCCCATGCGTTTAGCAGGGAGAGGAAGCTTGGTGGCATTCACCTCCCCACTTCTGTCTTGGCCAGTGGTCATAGCTTCTGCCTATGGGAAGTGGCTACCAGGCCGTTTTGCTCTCACCAATTTGTCAAAAGTTAAAGCTAACTAATGGCTCATTCTGATCAAATACCAATGAACCCATTTTCCCCATCCATTCTTCTAGCTGAGTAAATAAGTACTTATGGAAGAAATGGAGTGTTTTAAACAAAACATGACTCAGGGGTTAAGCCAAGAAAATAGAGAAAAATAATACCAGGAAGTGATCCGTGTAATTCTGCTGAAATTGTAAAACCAAAAACATCAACCAAAATGTGGGTGTAGAGAGTGAACTATAGTGTGTATTTGTGAAGCCATGAAATGTGACGAAAAAGGCAAATTACAGAATCCAAGTGTGGGCAGGCGCTGATGGGATGGCACAGGGTAAGGACTGTGGAGTGCTGCTTCTGTTGTAGTGGCTACAGGGATGGAAAAGCAATTGAGGAGGTACACCATTACTGCTACTGCTGTAGTGTTCATTCGGTAAGCAATTGCAGCAGCACTAGAATAAGAAGTGGCTAACAAATTCTCTAGACTGAGTCTCAGAGGAACCCAGAAGCCCACGGAGGGAGCAGACTTTTCAGGGAGAGAGTAGACAGAAAATCCCCAGGCTTGGGGTGTCCCTTAGCAAGGCTTGGGTGTTTCTGTGTTGTCACCTGCTATATTTTTCTCCCCATTGTATGTTGTTTTGGAGACATGATCTTACTGGCCTCACACTCACAGAGGTTCTCATGACTCTGCCAGGGATTAAAGGTTTATGCCCACTTTCCCATCATCTTATAAGGTTGATCTGGCTGCAGCTCTTTGTCTAGGGCTGAGGCCCCAGGACATTTCCCCTCCCCTACTAGTATGTCTATTATGCCTTCCAAGTTCAGGTCTTGTTTAGACTGCCTTGATGATGAGATTTCATGGGGGGAGCTTCTCTGACATTTCCAGGAGGTGCAATTTCATGGCAAACTTCCTGCTCCTTTGACTCTTACAATCTTTCTGCCCCCTCTTCCACCATGATCTCTGAGCCTTAGATGCAGTTGTGTTGTAGATATACCAGTTGGGGCTGAGCCCTGACATGTGTGTGCATGTATATATGCAATAACATTAAAGAAATAGAGGCTATGCATTTGAGAGAGAGAGAGAGAGAGAGAGAGAGAGAGAGAGAGAGAGAGAGAGAGGCCATACATGGGAAGGGATAGGAGAATGATGCAATTATATTTTATTTCAAAAAAGTATTTAAGAAAAATATTTGAAGACAGAAAGAAAAAATTTTTGATGATAGAATTATGGAAATAATGGGGCCCAGTGGCTATATTGTTTATATTCTCACTCTTCCAGTGATAACACATCACCCAGACAATACCTTGGAAGCAAATATAGAGTCATCCAGAGATTCTATTGTGGATGGCCCTACACTCTGGCTGCCAACACACATCACCTGCATTTAGAAAATGGATGTTAATGCTTAAACAAACCAACTATTTGTCCTCTAGCTTAACTTCATGGTTACGATATCACCAGCTATGTATCTTTCTTTTTGGCCATGAAGATAAATACTCACCCAGTGTTCTAGGGTTTCTTTGTTTATGTTAAGTGTGGATAGAGACTGGTAACTAAAAGACAAAAGATTCCACTTCAAGAACAGAAAGCCCAGCTGAGAAAATGAAATAAAATATACCAGAAACCCAAGAAGGCAAGGTGTTGCTCTCCACACAAGGAAGAAATTACATTGGGGACAATAGATTGCAGCCTTGCATGTCAGACTAAGCCCTTCCTCACTTCTCCACATGACTGGGTGATGATGGGTTGGAGCTGTAATACAGAAAGGCCCAGCCTGCTATATCCAGGGGATACTCTACTCTAGTAGATAGTCTTCTACAGGTTGGCAACCAAACCACTTGCCTACAAAGCTACATTGATTTCCTTGTATTGCTACATTAGCCATGATCATGGTGGTGGAGTTATAAAGGAATGCCAGCTACTGGGAGAGGGTAATGATCAAGGGAGGACCCAGAGTGTGGAGGTGGGAGAGCAGTGGGCCTGTGTGTGTCTGTATCTGGTGCTTCAGCTTTTGCCTCAACAAGTCATCCAGAGAACTGGCAAGGGACAGTGCCAGGACTCATGTCTGAGAGGAGAATGGTGCATTGTGGGTGAGAGCATAAACAGTTCTTTGACCCAAGATGTGCCCAGATGAAGCTGTTTACACCAGAGCTTCTCCAAAAAAAGCCAGAGAGCTTGTCCAGTCCATGGGAGTAAAGAGGAGTCCTCTGGGAACAGCTGAAGGACAAACATAAAAGACAACAACCTTGGGTAGGAAGACAAATCAACACTAGGGGTAACATTGGAACTAACAGAAGTTATGACCCAATTGGGATTAACAGACATTTATAGAACTTTCTATCCAAACACAAAAGAATATACCTTCTTTTCAGCATCACATGGAACCTTCTCAAAAATCGACCACATTCTTGGCAACATAGCAAACCTCAACAGGTACAAAAAAATTGGAATAATTTTTTTGTGTCTTATCAGACCACCATGCTTTAAAGTTAGAAATCAAAAACATATCAAAGTGCAAAAAACCTACCAATTCATGGAAATTGAACAATACACAATTGCAACATTCCTGGGTCAAGGAAGAAATAAAGAAAGAAATTAAAG